CCCACCCCATCCCGTCTTCCCCCAGTCACCCCCAAAACAGCCCTGGGAAAAACCTGATGCCAGGCACTGTCAGGTTGGAAACATCCTCCGGCGAAGGAGCCCTCCCAGCTCCTTATCTCTCCTTGTAGCAGAAGACCCCAAACCTGCCCTTGCTGGGGAAGCCAAAGCTGCGGACGCCGGGCTCCGCGGGGCCACAGTTGGCCCGGGGTTTGGCGATGGGGTAGCGGACGCTGCCGTCTGCCAGCCAGCCGGCATCGCAGCGGTCCAGCCCCAGGAATTTCCAGGCAGAGTAGAGCTGCCCCACTCGGGCGATCTCGGCCCCCGCATCCTGGCAGCTCTGCTTGGCCTCCTCCAGCGTCATCCCGGCTGGACGGTCCAGGTAGAAAACCTCTCCTAGGAGGGAGAGGAGAGGAGAGGAGAGCATCAGCGCTGAGCATCATCTGGAGCATCCCCACCTTGGAGCATCTCCACCCAGGCTGGTGGAGATAGGGAGGAAGGGAGGGAGGAAGGACATGGGGTGCCACTGATCAAGCACAGCATCTTCCCCAGGATCTCACCCCCACAAGCACCCACCTCTGAGCCCGGAGGAGAAGCAGAAGGCATCAAAGCGGTGCAGGTGGCGGTGGCGCGGGCCGTAGCTGCGGATGCCCGGGGCGAGGTGCAGCCCCCCGCAGGGCTTGCGGGGCAGGCGGATGGGGTACTGCACTGTGCCATCTGCCAGCCAGCCCGCGTTGCACCAGTCCAGCCCCTCACTCCAGGCCTGGAAGAGCTGGTTGAAGGTGGCAAGGATGGCGCCCTGCTCCTGGCACACTTGCTCGGCTTCGTGGAAGTTGAGCCTGTACTGCCCGCGGCGAGGCTGGTAGGGGAACACGATGCCTAGGGGCAGACGGGGCACTCAGCCAGCTCTGCAGGTAGCCCACCCATCCCGAGTCCGGCCCCAACAGGAGCCGCAGGGGTCCCCAACCCATCCCAAATTCAGGCTCTGGGACAGGGACCACCCCAAGGTGGCACAGCCCAAGGCTCAAGACAGGCAGGGACGGGGTTGCTCCATGCATGCAGCCACCAGCGGCAAGTTGCCAGCGACATCTGGTGGCCCAGGGACACCGGGGCTCAGTCCCGGGAACACACAGACCACCCTTGTAGGGACAGCACCACACACACGGGGATGCACAGGTTATGGTAACAGGGATGCAGGGATCACCACCACACGGATATATGGACCATGGTCCTGGGGACACACAGACAGTGGTCCCAGGGAGACATGGACCACCCCTGTGGGGATGGACAGACCATTGTCATGGGGTTGCACAGGCTACAGGGAGAGGGACACAAGGACTAGCATCACGGGGGCACATGGACCACCAACATGAGAATGGCTGGACCACAGGAACATGTGTACCACCACCATGGACTGCAGTTACAGGGACCAGTGGGGACAAGCCACCACGGGAGCTGAGGGGGTGGGCAGGGGCACAGCAAGGGGGGCATTTCCCCTGCTCTGGGCTTGGCAGTGGAGGCAGGGCTGAGTCAGATCCATCACGGCAAGTGAGCAAGAGGGGCTGGACCAGTCACCAAGGTTCATCACAAGATGCATGGGGACCCCCAGGAGCTAGGAGGCAAGGGGGAAGCTGCACATGGTGCAGCACAGCAGGAAGATGGGAGGAGGAAGATGGGAGAAGGAAGAGCTGGAAGAGGCAGGAAACACTGTGGCCACAAGGTCACCCCAACTCTGACTCCACAGTAGCATCCCCAGCATCCCAGCTGGGCAGACTTCTCTGGGCTCACTCACTGCCGAGACCCCACAGTCAGACAGTCCCAAGCCACCACCCCATCACACCGAGCATCCCAGCCCCTTTCTGCCTATCACTGGGCTCCCAGACCCCCCGTGGCTTGTGATCTCTGCCAAGGAGGGGGTGCCACGGGAGGGCCAGGCTCACTGGGTTGGCGCAGGGGGTCATGTGGTCCCCACCATGCCCTTACCTCGCAGCTGGAGGTCCACCACATCGCTCTCATCCTCCAGCCCGTCGATGACCTCGCAGCGGTATTTGCCACCATCCTGCAAGCGCACATCACTGACGACCAGTGAGGCCTCATGCCGGGTGGTCTGGCGGAGGTGAGCGCGGCCCAGGAAGTCCCCAAAGGCAATATAGGTCTTGCCGATGGCCACCAGCACATCCTGCTCCTTGGTGTAGTCATCCCGCAGCTTGGACCACTTGATGCGGATCTTCCGCTTGGCCTCCGTGTCGGGTTCGAAATGGTAGTGGCACGGCAGGGTGACATTGGCACCGTTGGAGCTGTAGATGGGGTCCTTGGGGGTCTCTACCACCAGCCTGGCCCCATTGAAGTCATCCACTGGGGACAGAGAGAGAAGGTGTGAACTGTGGGTCAGGGTCCAGGGTTGGGCAGCATCTCCAGATCTCCCTGCAGAAACTCCACTCCCTCCCTCCAGCCACCTCCTCTTCTCCCTGAGCATCCCATGAGCATATCCCAAGCATCCCTGGAGCACCCCTGGCCTGCTCCTCTGGGGTCCATATCCCCACCCGAGCCAGGTCCCAGCAACATCCCAGAAGCAGGGAGGACTTCAGCCCCTTGCACCGACCTGCCAGCCCACTTTCCTTCAGCCCCGAGAATCCCCAATATACCTTTCTCCTGCCCGTTGCCGTTGTCGTTCATGAGGTGGTTGTAGTAGAAGCCATTGTAGAAAGGGTGGTAGGAGCTGCTGGCCAACCGCAGCAGGGTGGCCTCCAGGAGCAGAGGGAACAGCAGCATGGCTGGGAAGCAAGGCTGAACCCTGAGCTGTCGAGGGAGGAAAGGGCTGCAGTGACACCCCAAAATAACCAGGAGAGCCCCAGCACTGCCCAGCACGTGGCAGCTGGCAAACTCCATCGCAGGCATGCAAGGAGAGGGGTGGGAATAGGTGGGAATAGTGGCTTGACTGCCCGCAGGGGAGGGTCAGGCAACCTGAGTCGTGCCCTCAGACCTGTCCCACAAGTGGGGCTCCCAGTCCCCTCCATCCTCATCCTCCCGCCTGGGGTCCCACCACAGGATGGCAGAGCAGCCGGCCGGGAGGGGGAAAATGAGACCAAGTCCAGGGCGGTGCAGCCGGGGGAAACAGGATCCCAGGGCATCCTTTGGACAGGGAGCACTGGGAAAACATCACGTAGTGGGTGCAGGGGGAGAGAGGTGGCCGAGCCCCGCTGTAAGCTGCAAGCTCGGTTTACAGAGGCAGCCGAGCATGCAGCCCAGCCGAGGAGAGGAGGAGAGAGCTTGGAGGAGAGAGGAGGAGAGACCTCTGCTGCCCCAGCCCCGGACAAAGCCCAGCAGCACTCAGCCAGGTTGCCCAAGGACCCCCAGCTCCAACCCAGGGCTGCCGCTTTGCACCACAGATGTGGCCGGTGCTGACCCCGTGCAACACATTTCACTCCCAAACCACGTCCCCTGGGTGTCAGGGAGCCTGGCCGCCCCATGGCACCGGAGACCCAGGCTATCCCAAGCTCTGGGTGCCCCAGGCACCCAAGGGTGCCCTGCCTGGGGCTCACCCAGGGCAGCTCGCAGCAGTATTTGCCGGCTTGTGAAGTTTCCCAGAGCCGGCAGAGGGGGCCCGGAACCCGGCCAGCCTCCAGCAGCCCCCCCCCAAACCTGGGAGGGATCTGACATCCATGCCCCCTGCTTAGAAAAGGTTTACCAGTGCCCCCAGGCCAGGGGGGCTGTGGGAGAGCGGGTGCTGACCCTCAGCAGGGTCCGACTCAGGGTCTGGTGATGGTCTGCGGAGACCAGGGCGTGCAAACGGCTGCTCTCACCACGGGTGGCTCACTCCCAGGCTCTCCTCTCCGGTCGGTGACACTGCTCACCCTCTTGTGGGGTGCAGCCCACACTTGCCACCCACCAAGGGTGCCGGCGGGCACGGGGTACACCCACTCGATGGCCAGTGCCACCCTGGTAGCCCGGTGGCAGGGATGTGTGACGCCGGAGCCCAGCAGGCACACTGCCACGTGCTGCCCACGCCTGGCAGGCAGGGTTCGAGGCACTGCCAGCTTCACACCTCAGTTTGGGGGGCACCAGCCCTGGTTCCCCTGTGCCCCCAAAGCCTAGCCACCCCCCAAGAGCCCAGCGTTGCGGTGACACGCTGGGAGGAGGGTTGGCATCCTCAAGGGCACTGCCGGTGAGCATCGTGCCGCTGCACCCACCGTAGTGATGCCCGGCACGTTCCGTGGGGATGCCCGGCACCCTCCACGGGGATGCCATCCTTCCTCGCCCTCCCCGACAAGTTGGGTGCCCACCACCCCGGGGTGCCAGCCCTCCCCAACCCCGGCTCCGGGGCCAAGCCCTACTCACGCTGGTTTGCGGGGCAGGCTGCAGGCAGGCGTGCGGGCAGGCTGCAGGCAGATGCACTGTGTTTAGGGCTCTTGCAGGGCTGAGAGGAAGCAGCTCCAGGGCCTGCCTCTTAAAGGGAAACACACCGCCTTTCCCAACCCCCTGCTCGCAGCCCCAGAGCTGGGGTGGGTGCCCCCCGGCCCCCCCCTTCCTGCCTGCCGTGCCCAGGCAATGGCCTCGTCGTGCACCCGCATGCTGCCTGCACGCCTCCGCTGCGATGTGCCAGCTGCCAGCATTGCCCCCGCCTTGGAGGGCAGAGTGGTGGGTAGTGGGGTGCCCAGTCAGGGCTGGTGGGACCCCACAATGCCCCTTGCAAAGCCCGGTAAAGACAAAGATCCCGGGGAGAAGAGCCATCCCTCATCCCGTGTCCCACCGGGTGGAGTGGCAGCAGTGACCGGGCGATGGTGGTGTTGGCAGGACCACAGTGGGCATGAGGAGCTCGGGATGGGTGGGCTGCAGAGGGGGATGGTCCATGCCCGGGATGTGCAAGCAGCATCTGCCTGCTCTGGGGTCCAGGGGAAGAAGCTGAATCTCAGGGTTCAGCATCTTCAGGGTCTGCTTGAGGCCGTGGGGGCAAAACAGAGGCACAGAAATGAGGACAAAAGCTTAGAGGTGCCTGGTTGCACCCACCTGAGAGGGCATCATCCCTACACTTGGGTGATGCCCTCCACGCCAGCTCCCACCAGCACACGGACACGCAGCCCTGGTACCAAGAACCCCAAATCCAGCCCTCAGGGAGGGCAGCACAGCACCGGCAGAGCCGGGGGATGCCAGTCCAGGGGTGGCCGATGGGGCTGAGCACATGGAGGAACCACGCAGCGGCGTGTGCCCTGACCCAGCGACCCGCTGCCCCGGCCCGGCGCGCCGCTTCGCCCCCCGCTTTGTTGTTTTTATGGCAAGGAAATGAGGCACGGGGGGCCCCGGGTCCGGCTCTTGCCGCCATGCGGGACGGCATCAAGCCAGAAAGAAAACAACCCGTGTAAAAATAAACCGCCCCGGGGCTGGCTGCAGGGTGAACGGAGCCGGGACCCTTCCCGAGGGCCCCCCCAGCACGGCGTGCTTGGGGTGCAATCTTGTCTGCCCCTCCGCCGCCGCCACGCTGATAGGGAGCAGCCGGCATGGAAACAGCCTTATCTGCTCCCAGCGCCGGCCCAGCAGCCCCCGTCCCCCGTGGGAAGCCCTGACTGGGATGGCTGTGGGACCCGGGGTCTGGTGGCACTGCTCTTCCTTGCTCTCCTTTTCCCTGCACAGCCACCCATCGGGGCCCGCCAGCTCTCCCCGAGGAGGGCCGGGCAGCTCAGGGACAGGGGAGCGTGACGGCCGGGCACGCTGCCTGCTTGCCTGCCCGGAGCAGGCTGCTCCACAGCCCACAATGGAGGGGCGATTACATCTCTCGACGTGGTGGCGTGGGGCTGCTGCACGCCTGCATCCCTGCCAAGGGTCCCCGGGGGCCCCGACCCTGCCCCATGGCTGGAGCAGGTGGTGAGATGCCATCCCAGCTGCATCCTGGCCGCATCCTGACTGTGTCCCAACTGTATCCCGGCCACCGGTGCCCCTCTGCAGTTGTTTGCCCAAGTTGTCCATGTCTCCCAGCGAGCTGGTGGTCGGGATGGTCCCCTCCACCCCCGTGGCTGTGCAGACAGATGGACAACTTCATCTGGGCAGGCTGCTCCTCGACATGGTTGCCCCATTGTTTCAGAGCTGAGGGATAAGCCACGCGGTGCCCTGTGCCACCTGTGCTGTCAGCACCACAGTACCCACCAGGACCCATCCTCTGCCTGGTCCAAGGGGAGCTGGAGCAGGGAAAGGGAAATGCTTTTGTGCATCTTTCTTCAGCAGCAGCTCATGGCTCACATTCAGCCACGGCTCTTGCCTGGATGTGGCCAACGATGCCCTCCTCCTCCTCCTGGGGAGCAGATGGCATGGGGTAGGATCCAACCACCGGCATACTCCTGAAGAAGGAGGACACCCCTTTGCTCCCTCCCACCTCTCATCCTATTTTTGGAGCTTGGGGGATGATCCCAGATTTGTTTTCTGCTCCCTGATCCTGGGTAGGACTTGTGGGTTTCAGGGTGAGCCAGGCTGCACGGGGTCAGGGTAGCTCTGACCCAGGAGCACGTGTTTAGGGCATGTGTTTAGGGCTGGCTGAGCTTTTGGTTGAACAGGAGCCATAAAAATGTCATCCCTGTCTTCCCCCGCCTCAAACCCGACAGCTGACAGCTCTGCCATGGCCCCACCAGGGAGATTTCTCACCAAAATCCCACTTGCAGGGGACAATTCCAGCGGGAACCCGTTGCCCAAGGATCAAACTGGTGAGGAAAACCCACGTTCCTGGTGGGATGGAGGAGGCTGTGATCTGTGCTGGCCTTTCCGGGTGGAGGCAAGAGGATGCTCTCCCCGACGGCTGCTTCCTGAGGAACCGGCTGAGGGGCAGCTGGCAGGACCAGCCGCCGAGTCAGCAGGCAGCAGGGTGCCATGGCCACAGCGTGCCGGCCCTCCCGGCCTTCCTGCTGTCCCAGCCACCCAGTCGCGTCCGGGAAGAGCATCCGAGGGACGGGGACAAGCCGTGAGGGGCTGTGTATTGGGTGGAGGGCGCCCTGGTCCTCACAAACCCCCACATCCTGGGGCTCGGCAGGAGGAAGGAAACACTGCAGAGCTGGGAAGGGGCTCAGCATCCGTCAGGGCTGGGGGGGGGGGGGCAACGGGGGGGGGGGGCCGAGCACTGAGGATGTGTCCCCTGTTCCAACACACAGCATCTGCTCCCACCACCCTCCCCATGGAGCCTCTGCTGTGCCCCCGGTTCAGGGTTGTCTTGGCCGGACTCTTGGCTCTTATCTCTGCCCCAGCTTCCCGGCGATAAGGGTGGCATGTCTGGGGGTGAGTGGGGCTGACTGTCCCTCCCGTCCACAGCTCTAGCTGTGGCTGCTATTTGTCACCAAGCAGCTGCAGCCACGATGCATTCAGCCCGGTCCCTGGCAGCAGTTTCCCCCCTGCCAGCCCCTCTGATGCCCAGGGCTGGCACCCACAGGGCCAGGCAGGAGCCC